TGAAATTAAAGAATAAAAATACGCTTAAATGTGTTTTTTAATGCACTTGTCATCCTTTCCAAATATAAAAATGAAATACTTAAATTAAAATTATTTAGAAAATCAGAGAAGAAACATTGCCTCAATCGCATCCCTAGGACTGATAAGAACTCGCACTATCGCTGAGCGGCACACTTTACTAATGTGGTGTGTCAAAATGGAATTTCACATTTGGCAATATCCGTTTCCTGTTGTTATCTACAAAATTTTTCAATTTTCCCTGCACAAATATATTTCGAAATGGAAATCAGAATTAAAACAAGCTCAACACTGAAAATGTTGCAAAAAGACATAAATTTTATTTTTCAGAAATGAAATTAAATCAGCTTCTCCCTCTTGTTGTTGTAGCTGTTGTAGCCAAAAATGCACTGGGAAACTGTGTACCATGCATGACCAATTATTGAAATACGAGTTTAATTGAATGTCAATAAAAATGTAGAATTTACATTTTACAATTTTGCAATGGCATTGCATAAATTTCGAAATATATTACCTCTAAAGGACTATTCCATTTCTGAATCCTGAGCGGCTGTATACGCATATTTCTAATCACAATTTTTGAATATAATTTTTGGCTTTTGTCAATCTAGAAATCAGTTGCGGATGCGTCAAATAATTTTTAGGGCCTTGGACTATTCAGAAGAAGTGACCAGTATAAATGTAACGTGGTAGAACTGTGTTCGCAGTGAAGAAGTGACTCCAAAGAGAGTGACTCTAATGAATAATGTATTATTTTTGAAATTAACAAAGTTGTATATTATATTATAGATATTTATTAATATTTAATATAATTTTACATTAAATCGAACCATTGCTGCAATATGTTTCATGTACGGCATTTTACACAAGACCAAAGACATTATTGAATACAAAAAGAATTTAAGAGCAATTAAGATACAATTAGATATTCTAACCCCACTCTCTTCACTAACACCCAATTTCCCTGCTTTACGCTTATGCTTTCTGGCTTAGATAAACCTAGTCCGTTAGGTATTAAGCCTCTTGCTCTAATCTCTTCCTTTCTTGATTACTTGAATGGGGTTGTATCCGCTGCACGAGGCTGCAATCTTGCATTTTCGCTCCTAAAAGGTGGTTTTAGTGGGTTCAAGTCTCACACAGTGACTTACGATGCTTTCCACCAACAGCAAAAAAAAAAAATAGATATTGTAACATTTCTTTATAATTAGTAGATTGAGATTCATTTTTTTGTTTTAATCTATTTTTGGTTTGACAAAAATAACCAGTAAACTAAGAATCTTCTAAATTTGTTGAATTAGTTTTTAAATTTTGCATCAATGTAGAAATAGTGCGAAATGTAAATACAATATCTCTTAGTCTGATTTTTATATTATTAGTTTTGTTAAAATTTTAATTCTAATTTTCAGATTTTGTCCCTGACACGTCCTGTGTTTCCGCGTTTAATTGATTTATATTAGCAGCAAAAATTATGGAACCAAATTTGAATTGTTTGGTTGTCTTTAGTGCAGAAATCAAATTGTTTTAAATAAATAATACTTCTCAAAATTATTTATGGAGTTTTGTGAATGATTTTTGACATCCAAAGTTCATTCAAATGATTTGCAAATAATGCACGAAGAAGTCAAAATAAAAATTAAATAAAAAAGTTATTCTTAAATTACTTTGTATATCACATCATCTTTTAGATTATTAAAATCAATTTTAAGCAACATTTTTGCATTAAAATAGATTTATTATTAGATATATAATAGTTGCAGCTGACTGTTGTTTTGAAACTCGACTTCCAAAATATCATTTTTAAATGCCCAATGTTGAAATGATTAACTTCTGTGTACAAATCCGCGACAAGTTTTTGCAATTTGTTGGCTGACACAAAATACAAATTTGTCAAAAATATTGTCCACGTTTGCTTGCCAATGTTGAAAAGAATATCTCAAAATAACCAGGTAGAATGTTTCAGCAGATCACCCACCAGCTGCACCTAAAAATAACGATGAAACTAAGAAAAAAATTGAAAACAAGCAGTTGGAAAGGCAAAGAAACTCATCAGATTGCAAATTATTTAGATTAGGATTTGCTTGTGAAGTATTAGGGGGATAATTTGATAAATCATTACATCCGTCCTAATGCGAGTTAGATGCTCGATATTCTGTGCAAATGTAAATAAGAGTGTGGACGAGTATACTCAAATCTTGGCTGCAATTTGGAATTGTTTATAATTTCTATTGCAGTTGCAGTTTAATTGTATTCTACTCAAGTTTAAATTAGACTGCGACTCGTTTTTTCCACCAAAGGGGTGCCAAAAATAGGTGCACGCATAACATAAACAAAGACTATAATAATCTTCTTGCAAATATTCCTATATGTTGTATCACAAATGCCTTGATCAGAAGGATTAGATCTATTGGTTTTGATCCATTTAATACACGCGTTTAGACAAGTGTACTAATCGACCGCTGGCATATGGAACCACGTGGTGGAGTAATGTTGGAAAACAACTCTGATGGTTGCAGTTTGTTTTTAAGTTTATAGGGTAAACGATTCGATAGCATTGGTTGCGTATCGGAAAAGTCTTTTGAGGCACGTAATTTTTGTATTGTATATCGTCATTATTCCAAACATACTTAGTGTTCGAACTGTTTTGCCTTCACTCAGTTTACTCAAGATTTGAGAAATCTGAAAATATGCACGCATTATTAGAACAGGTGCCCATGGAAACTGTTTGCAAATGTATTAATAATCCTAAAATAGAAACGAGATGTTATTGAATGGCGTTTCTTTTCATTTGATTTCATTTTAAAGTGTAGCCACAAAACTAACCAGTCGCTTTCTAATGAAGATTATGCAAAATATACCATTTGTAGCATTTGGTATAGCATAAGAACAAATTCTCTATGGATGTTTCGTGACCACTTTTGTAAGGCAAAATACGAGTATCTTTTAATAAAATTCTTATGATATATATGTACTATACCCAAACGAAATGTGTCCAGAAAAACTAATTCCCATATGCATTTTGGGAGAATTGAGAAACTTTTTCATTTTTGAAATCAAATCAAGTAGTTTGCTCGGGAAATTCTTTCTAATAAGGTGCAGAGATTTTATAAAACTTTGATTCACTTGTTATGATTGTCTAATAAATAATATCATCAATAGAACAATGAAGTGAATAATATAGAATTTCTTTGATGAAATTCTTAACTGTCGATTGTCCTGAAATCATCATTGGAAAATTAAAAGAATCAGTTCATTAAGACAAGATAAGACACAACAAGTAATCAAAATCTAAACATTTTTTTTCAAATGATTTAATTTTTTATTAAAAAATCATTAATTATTACTCAGTATAAGTCACTAAACGAGAGTTTATTTGCTCACCGACTTTGTTGTTCGTTTCAAAACGGTAAGGAAGAAAGTATTGAGAAAAGGGCTCGTATTTGTATTAGAGTCTCAAAAAAAATTCGACACTTACGTTTACTGCAGAAACTGTCAGATGCTTTAACGCAACTTTTTGCTTTCGAAAATATGTCAAATGCTTTGGTAGTGAGAAGTGGAAAATTACGAAAATTGCAGAGCTCTTGCCAATGTCCCACATTCAATTTGAATATTTGTGGTTGGATATCATATGTCAGGCGGCAGCCGTTTTAGACATATATTGAAATTTGTTGCTGCGGTTTGGTTGTTAGTTCTTGTAGTTTCTCATTGCTGTACATACTTTTTTACTTTTTATTGAAAATAAGAAATACAAAGCTTAGAAAAACTGAATGGTTGAAAACCCAAATTTGAAATCAATAAATCCATAGGATCTGAGGTGCAATCAAAGCGGTTCGTTAGAAGCAAAATTGTATATGTCAGCGGGCATTGAAAAAAGGTCATCAACAGGGATACATATACATTTTTGGCTAATTATTTTTTATTGAAGCTAGTATTGATAATCATTAACGAAATATAGAGTTATAATAATCAATTTTCCGATTATTATTTGCTATTTCTAGAAAATCGTACTTTTAGGTAATATTAACCTGCAGTACACATCCAATTTTATTAAATTCGTTCATTAAACACAAATAAGCGGAAAGAACTGCAGTTAGAATACATTTAATTGACTTTATTGGATGCATATGTTGATGTTATTGTTGCTGTGGTTTGAGTTAGTGCTATTGCGCATTTTTACTCTGTTATGGTTGGGGGGCTTATCCCTGCCCCACACTAAGCTTCAACTATACTAAAATTATTATCATTTATTTATCTATTAACTAATGACGGACCGTAGATCAGCATATCTTCCTGTGCGTTCTTAGGTGGACTTAAGGTTTGTTAGGACGGGGTTCGGCAACGTACCGACTTTTGTGAATAATTTAAGGACTCTGTCCTTGATATATTTTTTCACTGAGTCGATCCTTAGATCTCTATGCATATCTATTGTCCTAATATACCAAGGAATCTTAATATGGTAAGTCTTCCACAAGCCAGATTTTGTGCTATCTGTAATTGCTTTATGGCAGTATTTGAGGCTTTGCTGTATATTACACATCCGTACAGTAATCCTAGTCTAATTATTTGAGTATAAGTTAAATATTCTTTTATATTATTATCTGTATTGATGTTGCTTGTTCGGAAGCTAATATGCGTTCGAATAATATCGCATGATTGCTCCGTTAATAAAACTAAGCACAGGGCCGGATTTGGGAGACGCGTGTGTTAACTTATATAATAACTTTCTATTTTTGAGGTTGAATTTATTATTATTAAACAGCGGATACTGCCTTCTCTTTCGTGTTATGAATATAGCCTTCCATTTCTGGAAGTATTCCACCATGAGGTATATATTTGTCTGTAAGGTGTTGCTTACATTTATGGCATATAAAGAAAACAAAAGTTATAAACATAAAACTAAATAGGCTGTAGTTAATTAATCTAAATAAATTTTTCAACTTTTTTGTTTCTTAGTTTTAAAAATTTGAGTTTGCCTAGTTGCAAATGTTTATTTATTTAATAATTAAAAATTGAATAATTAAAAAACAATTGAAATGTCTGGCATCGGTAACATTAGTCTTTAACTTTATATAAGATAACCTTTGCACCATAAAAATGGCTCTGAAATCAGGCATGTCTTCGAAAGCAGCTGCCAACGATGACAGAAAAAGTAAAAGTAAGTTATATGAAGTGATATTATTTTTGGAAGTTTATCCATCAGCTTTTTCCGTTTACCCTTCTACTTTTTATACACAGCCGACACATTATCAAAAGAGTTTAATCCAAAAATTGAATATGAAGTGATCCAAGCAAGATTTAAGGACGAGTTCATTAAGAGATGGGAAACCATGAAATCTTCGCCTGAAACTGGACTGGAGGGTTTTATCGAAATTGCTACACTGGGTTCAGGATCATTTGGAAAGGTGGTAAGTATTCAGATGGGAGTTTTCATTTTCATTTTTTCCCAACAACATATCGGGTGCATGAGGTTTTTGAAAATGTTTTTTATACTATTTCAGAAACTAGTTAAAGAAAAGAAGTCTTTGCACTATTTTGCTGCGAAAATAATGATAAAAGACCAAATAGTAAAAACGAAGCAAACTACACATATATTTAATGAGAAAAGGGTCTTACACTCTGTACGGTTTCCGTTTTTAATAAAACTAGAGTTTTCTACAAAAGACAACGATAATGTATATTTGGGTTTACCGTTTGTTAATGGTGGAGAATTATTTACTTATCATCGAAAGTAATTACATATTAAATTTTAAGCAAGCTAGTTTTATAAAGTATATATCTTTTGCGTTACAGGGTAAGAAAGTTTAATGAAAAACAAGCACGGTTTTATGCAGCTCAGGTATTTCTCGGACTGGAGTATTTGCACAACGTAGACATTTTGTACAGAGATTTAAAGCCAGAAAATATAATGATTGATGATAGAGGATATCTAAAAGTAACTGATTTTGGATTTGCAAAAGTGAGTAATTTAAATCTTATATATCCCATATTGATCAGTCCTGTAAATTGTATTACTGTTATAATTCTAATAACATCTAGAAAGTTGAGGGTCGTACACTAACACTATGTGGTACACCAGAATATTTAGCTCCGGAGATTATACAATCGAGGCCTTATGGTACTAGTGTAGATTGGTGGGCCTTTGGTGTGTTAATTTATGAGTTCGTAGCAGGTAGCTCACCATTTGCTCCTCATAGCCGTGATGTTATGTTTATGTACTCGAAAATATGCGATGGTGAATATAAAATGCCGTCAACTTTTAGTCATAGCTTGAAAGAACTAGTGGACAACTTGTTGCAAGTCGATTTATCGAAAAGGTAAGGATTTGTATTTTTATTATGTTTTTTATGCGCGCGGATATAAGATCTATTTTTTTATTTTGATCTGAATTAGATACGGAAATTTGGTGAAAGGTTGTAATGATATAAGAGATCATGATTGGTTTAAAGGAACAGATTGGTTTGGTATACTGAATCAAGAAGTAAATGCTCCATATGTCCCAGCGATATCTAATATAGAGGATTTATCCAATTTTGACAAATATCCCGAATCGAAGGCCAGCGCAAAATCAAAAGTAAATAAGCACGCCGACCTTTTCGCCGAATTTTAAAAATGATAGATTTTCTATTTATGTTACAAATCAATAGATTCAATTTATAATATAAATATACTAAATTATCCATACATTTAAAATATAATAGACATACACACGTGATTCTAAAGCTTGTTAATTTCCTCGATCGTACATACATTGTGCACAAACATATGAAAGTTCTGCAGAATGTTCTCACTACTGATACATGGTAAGTTGCTAGAGAAAGAAAAATTGTAAAGATGAATATCTTTGCTATATCCAGTAACCAAATGTTAATAATAATCCTGAATATTGTGGAACTAAATCACTTAAGTCTTTGAAATCTAACTCCTGAGTTGCTCTCTGGATTTCATAAAATAAAAACAGATATTTAACCCTGATTAGCACTATTTCGCTAGCATTGTAAGGTACCTTTCTAGTAGATCTCTCTAGTATGCTGAAGTGTATATTGTTTCTAATTGCTGTGGTCTCGAGATTGGCTGAGTCTCAGAAATGGTTATAACAGTCATTTCAACTTGTCATAGTATTTTTTGGACTCGTTTTTAAAACCTTAGCATTTTTCAATTACGGTGCATTAATTTGCTTCCGGTTCACATCTCAGTAACTAAAGAAAGCGTCTAATATGGTAGGTAGTTGGAAAGAAGAAGGAAATATTAAGTTAGTAAAATATTTTGCTGCGAAATATATTATGTTTTCTTTCGCCTTTTGTTTATATACAAATTCTTTTAAAATAGAATAGAAATGATTCAGTTTTCGGTAAACTTATTGAATTAACCTGGAATGAATCAATGCAGTGGAGAATGACCAAATGCGATTTATTCAAGTTCTTTGTTTCAAATTCAAAGTACAACAATTAATCGTCAAAGTCAGCATAGACTTTTGTATTTACCAGTATGCAACATTTTCTGTTCATATCTATTTATTTTTTTAAAAGTTTTATGGGGTCGACAATTTTTTCAAAATTTTTTTATAATACTTATATATATAAGCTGACAATATAACAATAAGTTAAATCGTGTAGCCTTCATTTCTGTTGCTTTTAGTTACTTGTGAAAGGACTTAATGAGGAGCTAATAGAATGGGGCTTAATTAAAAGCCTTTCAACTACCACTGAAAGAGCAAACAATTCATTCCAGTACTTGCGCCGAGATCAAAGTATTTAATGGGATTAAAGCAACCCCCAGGTGCGTGTGACTTTTTACGAGTTTCACTATGTTACATGTAAGAGCTTCAGGTTCATCAACTGTTGTTTCCTTTGATTTAATCTTGCGTGGAATTAGCTGCGACTGAAATAATAATGAGCATCAAATAAAAAGCATCTTAATTTAATTGTGGCGCTTATTCACATTCGCCTTCATAGTCGGGTTCTCATTTGTTTTTCTGTTGTTTGTTTTCCAAATGTTTTAATATCTTCAAGATGCTCGAGATGAAATGCCTAGGCAAAAACGATGAAGATATGAAGGCAGTCAGTAGAAAGCTTCCCCCTGGGAGATTAATGCATAATGTAAATAATAAGTTCAGAGAATGTAATTTTTCCATTATTGTGGCTTGTAGAAATTTGTTTAAAACTGACATACACATAAGTAATCTCACAGAAATTTTTTCACGAAATATTAATTTTGTCTTTTAAATATGGACATTTACACATCTTATATACATGTTATGGGTGTATATTTTTGCAAAGCCGGATACCTCCTTGCACTTCATACTTCATATTTAAACATATATTTTTTTTATAACTTCATATTAAGTAGAAGTGAATGGTCTGAAAATCTAATAAATCTTTCATACCTTCTCCGTATTTCATATCAACGTGATTTATGCACAATTTTATCAAATTTCTTGATTCTTTTCTTTTACTGAATATACCTTTTATGCTTATTTAACTTTCTCTTATATTTTTACCATTTTTTTTGGTTTCAGACACTGACTTTAGTTGGCGTTTTTATCTGGTTTTGGTGGAGTCACCCTTCCTTCTGGAGAAAAATTTGCAATTTTTTCTTTTGTCCAGTTTTAGTATTGCTTTAGCTGTTGCCTTCGTACTTCAACCTTACAGAATTCATGGCACGACAATAAAAAAGCTGAGGGAGAATGTTATGATTATCATAATATTTGTTACGTGAGTTTTCATGTGGAAAAGATGAAACATCATCGTAGTTACAAGCATCTTTGTCCTTTCGTTCTTGGCCATGTTAATGCCCTTGTTTAGTGTTGTTTGGCGTTGTTGCTATTGTTGCTGTTGTGGCTGATGCCATGCTGCTGCTGTTATTGTAATCGTCATCACCATAATCATAGTTTGTAGTTACTCCTGGGTTTTACCTCTGATTTTTGGCGCCCGACAGTCAGACGCCTCTCGTTTTACCCCTCTTTCAGTGGTTGCTTACGAGTATAACTACAGTGGTATAAAGTATACGTCTCTGATAAAACCAAATACGAAAAGAATGGTTTAAAGAACTGAAAGCTTTTTGTGAAGGTTTTGTTAAGAATTTTATAGTCTGTAAACTAAATATGCACACGTTCACGTTTACGTTCCATTAAAATTGAACGGAATTTTAGTATACAGGGGTACAATAAAAAGTACAAGTACTCAATACATTCTACTGAAAATTTATTTGCATACAAAACCTTTTTTTTGGCACTTGCTGCCAACTCTCGTAAGATTATTTATTTTCACATTTTATTTTATATTTACTACATAATTATGTAATATCTTCATTAAAATTTGAGAAATAAACGATTTACGCACATCGTTCTAATACTTGAAACTAAATTGGTATCAAAAGTTATAGTTTTCAAATATGACAAGCATTTTTTCAAATGCGTGAAGCAGCAAAGTTTTTTTCAGAATTAGGCAGGATACATTGTGACCGAAAAGTTTCCGGAAATTTTAAATAAAACGCAAAATTCTTAATCTTCATCAATATTTATTTTATCTCCTTCAAAATATGCTCCATTAGAAGCGATACACAAATGCCAACGTTTCTTCCAATCATCAAAACATTTTTTATAGGCGCTTTCCGGTATGGCTTTGAGTTCCCTCTGCGAATTCTGTTTTACGTCTTCTATGGATTCAAAACGCGTTCCTCTGAGTGGTAATTTGAGGTTGGGAAACAGGAAAAAGTCACACGGTGCAAGATCAGGTGAATACGGTGGCTGTTCGATGGTATTTATTGAATGTTTGGCCTTAAAATCGTTGATAATGTTGAACAAATTGAGGTGAATCGGAACAAGCCGGGCGTTGACACGTCGCATACACAAATTGTCCACCAAAATCAAACGAGCCATCTCACGACCGATGCCTAGCTCTCGTGCTATCTCTCTAACACTCACATGAGGATTTTTGAACACGATTTCCTTTGCCTTTTCAATGTTTTCGTCGGTGGTAGAGGTCGAAGGTCGTCCAGAACGCGGCATGTCTTCGACGGTCGTACGACAGTCCTGAAAGGCTTTGTACCACTCATAAACTTGAGTTTTCGATAAAACTGATTCCCCATAAGCCTTTTGTAGCATTCGCAACGATTCTGCACACGAAATTTCGTTCGAAAAACAAAATTTGATGCAAACTCTTTGTTCAATATTTTTTTCCATTGTTTTTTTCGCAACGCACTACTGAGGTGAACTGGTTTCAACAGCTGCCGTAAACGAACTGTCTGACAGATCGCGCTCATTTTTGGCATAGTAATTAAGGACAGTGCTGCCAAACTACATAAACTTAAAATATCGAAAAATATACAGCGCGCGAATTTTAAATGAGAATTTCCGAAAACTTTTCGGTCACAATGTAAATTCTAATCATTTTGTGAATATTGTGTTCTGATCCAACGAATTATGTTTATCGAAGTGACCGTTATTAAAGTGGCAGTATACTTTATAATTCTATACGCATTACTAAATATTCAGTAATATTGAGGTTGTAAATGTTTTATGGGAACTACTTCAAACAATATCTTCGTCATTCCAAATGATTTCAACAAATAATAACAGAAATGCTATTTTTACTAGACATATAAATTTATGTATCTGTGCGCAATGATGGAAAAATGAAACATTTTCTTTGTTAAAGTACTGATCAACTAAAAATTTATTATCTCAAAATACTCTAGATTTTGTTTTCCACCTTTACAAATTTTTACTAAGTTAGGCTTGATCAAATTCTACTTCTATGGTGATAGGAAGTTCTTCCTTAAATTCAGGCGTGTACACTTTTCCAGACACAACGACAAAGTCCTGTTCGCAGTCCATTACAAAGAACAAAAATGGCCGATTCACTTCAAATGCATCCATTTCTGCTTCGGAATTTCGCATTTGTCCATTGCTAGCCGAGAGCCCAGTTACACTTCCACTACCTTCATCTACTCGTACATTGACAAATTGCACAATTTCATCAACGTGTAAATCGAGATCATCGGAAAGAAGGCTTAGATCGGCTTCCTCACGAGAAAAAAGCTTTTGTAATCCTAACTGCTTCAGCATCGACTCAGATCGAGAAGTCTCTTCTACCTGAAATTTAGGTAGAGAAATGTGTAGCTCTCTTTCTTCGGCATTAGTCTTTGCATATATAAAATCATCCGGTTTCATTTTCTTTATAACACTATGTAATCCCTCCAGCTCATTGGGTACTACTACAAACATGGCGTACTTTTTATTCTAAGTTTAAAAGATTGATAATAGGAATACATTTGAAACGTACTTAAATAATGTGCGTAACTTTACCTCATAGGGCAGACACACAGCCCTTGCATTGAGATGCTTTAAGTCAGCAACATAAAATTTACCGCTGGTATGCATCATTGGAGTTTTTACCGCATCTTCTGAAGTCATAAAGAAGTATTCTTCTGTATTCGGTCGTTCGAAGAAAGCATTAGCCCAATTACCCCGGAAATAAAGACCATTGAAGAGTAGCATTTTAGTTTTTGATCCTACATCACGACCTGTAACAGAGTTTGCACTAAGAGAGGAAGCGATATCGTCCTTTCGGAAGAGACTGCGGCCACCATATATCTAAAACACATTAAGAATTCGTTATATTACTGTTTTTTGAAAAAGGCACTTCTTTAATCAAGCTTACTTAATTAATTAACTACAAAGGAAAATAAAAATAAGTAGGAAAGAGTCCTTCACTACGAATTTTTAGACACATATTTGTAAATAACCTACCTGCCGCACGGTGCTGATGTGCGATTCTAAAGCAATCATTATTTCACCAACATCTTTGGAAGCGACATCAATGGCACTTTCCAGTTTTTGTAATGGAAGTGAAATTTTTTCAGGTTCATTTGAATTTAGAACTTCTTGTATTGGTACCATCTTTTTATTGGAATATGACGAATGTTCATAATTTTTTCGAAGTTTTTCTCTATCCTGCACAGTTTCATTATCAACGATATTTAGTTCATCTTCGCGTTCACTTTGATTGACTTTAAGCTCATTTATTGTAGCCTGTTCATCTTTTATTTCAATCTCACGACTTACTACAAATTTATCTTTTTCACTTTTTTCGTTTTGATTCTTTTTCTCTATAATTGGTCTATCGCTTTCCTCTCCATACTGGGAAGATATTTTTTCCTTCGCATTCAACTCTTCTAGTTTTGCTTTTTCCTGATTTATCTCTTCAAGTATGATGGGTTTTTCGACATACTGCTTTTCATCCACAAAGCGATCAAATTTCGAAGGTTCTTTTGCTATGACTTCTTCACCATAATTATTCTTCAAATTGCTCAAGCGATCATTTTCGTCGTCAATTTTGATATGTTTTAACGTCTCAAAGCCAATGACATCTTTGCTGTTACTAATCGTTGTGCTCTGAGTGTCTAACGACGTGTTGGGTTCACTCCAATCATATTCATCGCGGTTTATATCTTTAACATCCACAAAATAATTTTCCCGTACTAATTGCTTAAATTCATCACGAGCACTATGATTACGATAAATGTATAGCCACGTTTGGAACGAAGGTTCGCTGCCATATTCATGGTTCTGGTATCTAGAAAGAAGATGCTTATAAGCATCTCTTAAATATGCCCGGTTATTTGGGAATGCAAACACATTGGTGAACTCTTCATAGGTAGTTCCAGCTGCTGCTTCTGCCAATACGGCTAAAATGGAGCTCACACCCAATGGTGAATGAACTTGATTTCCGTCTATATCAATGTAGGATTTCAGTAAATTTATGGCAATAATTTTTGAAACTTCACTAGGATAGTTTGGCTGGTCATGAATGCTGGTTTCTTCATCAGATTTTGTGGGTAACGGTGTAGTTACGGAAATGCACACACACACGAGAACTATTAAATATAGAATAGATTTTTTGCTTTTAAAGAAACTCAAAAAATATGTATTACCTGCTGCTAAGATTCTCATTCTAACTGTCAATGGATTTATTTTAAAATTAAAATGCGACGGACCTTAGTTTGTGCTTCAATGAGCGAACACTAAATTGCGAATAATGCACAAGAAAGTGAGCCAACGATTGGAACTTTGTTTTTACTTAGAGAAAGAAAGAACCAAAACCTGATTTCAGCGGCAAGTCAATTGCGTAGACAAAAACGAACCAAAGAGTTTTGACTTCTTGGTTGTCAGAGAGGAGAGAAGAAAGAGCAAAGATTGTTACGTTGAAACTAAACAAAACTTAAACCGTATTTGCTGCATTGCTAAACCCTAAAATTAGTTGAACTTTGTAGCATGAAAAGCACAAAAAGAAAGTTTGTTACGATGATTGAAAGCAAGAATTCTCAAATAATTCTATGCATCGATGCTAAATAGAACCAGTTTTTAGTTTTGTATTACTTTAATGTAAATGTTTCGGCACAATCTTTATTCATTCCGGCTTCACAATAGTTTTAAAGCATATGGCGCTTCTTGTGCGAAAAACGCGACTTATAACTGAAATTGCCAGCTGCATGCTCTTAAAACTCGTATCCATACTCATTGGTAATCAAAGTGTAGTCATTTGAGATTAATTGGCAAATTATGTGAACTGGTTAAAGAAGTTCTAAGCCTGATTCAGTATCAAAACAGAACTTGTTCTTCGCTCGAGACGATGTTTGTTGATGCGCTCAAATGCATCTGCTAGTAAACAATCGTTCGTTCACCTTTCTAATATCAATTTATTATTATATATTGTTGTGTAATTATAATTTGAACATATATGCCTCACGTACACATTTAACGATATAGACAGATTATTAATAATTGAAGAGAGATTCAAGTCTACTAAGAGCTAAATGCTTTATATCTATCATAACTATCATATCTACCATTGCACCTTTTTTTACCCAAAAAGTTGTTGGAATTTTGTCACTCTCTCAGTAGGTACGATTTCTAATTGCGTACGACGTCTACGCAGGTGCTTACTACGCGATTAACCCAGTTAATATGTAAATTAACAGCAATAACAACATAAAGAGTTAATAACATTGTCAACACACATTTCGGACAGTGAACTCTACTCTTGCGAATAAATTCTCTACTCGATGATTTCTGGTTTCTTCAATAAAACGAAAAAAAACATATATTGACTCAAAAAAGACAACAAACAGAATTTTACGATGAGAACTCAAACCGCACAAGACATTGGCATTGTGAGCAACTCGTTTTAGATTCAACCAGCAGTTCCCAACTAGAACCATTGTTTGACGGAACGTTACATGCAGAGGTTGTTGCTCTATGATCAAAAATTTATCTGTTCGCATTAAGAAATATTATCTGCATCAATGCCGATACATATTCTCTAAGAACAGATGTTATTGTCTTTTAACCACAATATACCATGCATAATGATTTACTTAAATTGTGAGCATAAATATATTAGTTTGCGTGACGCTGATCTAAACTTATACAGATAATCAACAAAAGAGTCATACAATATTTCTACTATTACAATAGCAGAAATACTGAAATATATCAGAACTACTTGGTTTCCTTTAATTTAATTTTCACTAGAACTCAGTAATTCTTGCATGCTTGCATTTATTGATGCAGGATTACAGAAAATTTTCTACTTGAAGAAATTCAGGTTGCGGAGGCACAAGCAAATGTTTGCAATAAATTTGAATTTTAATTACAATTTGCATTGTAGAAGGAAAACACGAAACGTTGAAATCACGAGTGAAACTTGCCCAAATAAAACTTTTAATAGAATATCAAACCATAAAAACTTTTCACCAACGCATAATAAAAGTTTTCGAGGAATGTGCCTTGCTGTCTCCACCCACTATACCCTCAGCACATACTCAACCAAACAGGCAATCAGCAGGCGAAAGCACTACAGAGCAACCTGAAGAAATCAAAAGTGAAACTAATCAAAGTGCCGCCAACAATTGCGATATTATAATTTGCCTTAATTGAAATAATTCCCAAACCAATAATACATAGAGTGGCAGGAGTTGCAATAGCACCGCAGCAACACTTAACTCCAATGGTGGCGCAGTTTGGTCATATTGCCAATTCCGAATTTGAAATGCTTTAGCGGAATTCGCATAAAAAGCTTCAGCATCAGCCAGCAGCAATAGTAAAGACTCCCAATTGCGCAATCAAGAATCATCAGGAGCCATTTACCTCAGCCTGATGAATAAAGCATTGTGCTGTACGTACTCATTCACCTCAACTAGTCATTTGGATTGCTGGCTCTATTGCTTAGTTCTTTGTTGGTTTTTGGGGGCGGCATAAATTTGCTATCGTTCTTTCCTTTAAGGTCCTTCGCTCTCATTGACTTTTTCGACATTTCCTCGCAGCACGGCACGGAACGGAAGCAACTAATTTTGAATCTGTGCTGTGCGCTTCACTGCAGCTGTCCTTAGAATATCCGCAAGAATTGCCAACGTGTTCTTCTACATCTAAAGTATCTAACAAGCATCTTGTTTACTTCGTGGTTCTTAATCTTTATCAGATTCAGACATAAAACTTTTAACCGAATTTTTTTCATTTATTTTACCTTAATAAGGGCAACTTAGATTAGTTATATAAGTGAATAAATTTGTATTATCGAAAGAAGAAACAAGTGTATTTTACTGAAGAGCTGAAGACAAGTATTATCACAAAGTGATTTATGTCCTTTTGCATTTTTGGTCCATGAATTCATTTAAAAGAACCCAATTAATCAATATTAAACTAATTAAAATTTAATAATTATTCAAATATACTATACTACAATTGTTGAGGAATAATGTATCAGCAGACAAAGAATATCGTATTACACAAAAATTTGATCTGAGCATTCGTTATAATGAGTTGAAGATTGTGATTAGTTAATTTTAAAATCAGTTTTTCAACCACAGTACGTTATAGTGCGTTTCCTGTTTAGTTAGGACAAAGTAGATCTTCAGATCTAAGCAGTCCAGATTCTCTCATTTGAACTTTAGTATTTTTGTCTAATGGGTTGGAAGTGGGATAACATATCCGACAAATTTATGTCAGAAAGCAAAGTGTGTGACTTGACATGCTCATCTGTCGCATATACTAATCTATTTCTCTTTTCGCTTACCTAAAAGATAGATTAATAGTTGTGATCTTGTTCCACAGAACTCATTTCGCTGCGTAGTGAATTGTCATTACTTCTGCCTAAAAATCATTGCAATGATAGACTGGGAAACCTGATTCAGTATGCTGGCGTGTTCTGACTATTATAAGCCAGCAAGAAAGAGCATTGAGTCTGGATGCCATGAATTAGATTGCAGTTTTACCAGAAGCCTAGAAGGCAACCAATGAAAAGAGGCAAAAATAACTTTCATGGCAGTATGCTTTCAGTAATTTTTAAAGCGGTCTCTACTTATTTTATCAAGCAGTTTCAGATAGCTCCCCTTTTAAGTTACTGGCCCCAAAAGACAGCATCATAGAAAAGGATTGGTTCGATGATGAGTGAGACCAACAGTTTTTCTATAGCGTTTCCGAGGTTAGCTGAGTTTAGAGTCAAGTATGAGACCTAGATATTCGACTCCTGAGCTTAAACTATCTGGGTTGTCATAAGCATAGATAACGAAAATGTAGGGATTTACTGCACCCTTTTGTCACAGTGGTCAGTGAAGTCAATAATAGTAGATATTTACCCAACACAGCTGTAGCAATATCATCCTTATAAGTTTTTATATTGTATTCAGGTTATTCCGATAGTTTGAGCTGTGTACTCAATGCTATACTGTACAAACATGAAGGAAAAATAGCACTCTATGGCATACCGTTATAAACCACTCTTCGAGATGTGATACTTCCGATAAAAGTGATAATCCTGGTTTCAATAAATTTCTCTAAATTCCAAAATATGATATCGTATGGCAACAGTTTCATTCATTAAAGAAAATTATTTATCAACTTGTGAAATTAGTGCTGCCTTGACTATCATCATAGATGTTCAGACGGTAAGGTATGATGACATCTTCGCTTTGTTGAATGTCAACAGACCTGGAGCTTTAAAGGTATGTAAAGGCCCACTTGATTTCAGTATCGGCTACTTAAAAAGAAGAAGCATACAGTTGTAAAGGTTTATTTGCACAACTCCTAACTTACCCAATGTTTACAAGGACGGTGCGATGTTATCGGAGGCTTGTTTAGAAGTGGTTGCTATCGAAAGTTGTTGTCAGGTGACCGTGGCGTCACAGTTCTTTTATATTCCCTAACGATGACCCACTCTAAACCGTAATTGATCGCTTCTTTACGAGATTTAAGATGAGCCTGCGATTTGTGTTTTGAAACGACAAAAACCTCACTTTAATCCCTTTCGGCGTCACAGACCCTTCTTTCGTCTACCAGCTGTTAGCTGGTAGGTTAATGTTATTCGCCTTGAAGACAACTAAAATTTCAACAAGTGGAGAGGGTTCCAAAGGTAGTTAAACTTTGGAGACCGGCTTTGCAAAAAAAGTTCGTTCACAGAAACAATGCTAAGCTGCAAGGCGGGCCAGACAACCTCTACCCTTATCAATTAAAATCTGGTAAATATCCACAAAATATTGATGTGAACAGGCTATCGACAACTTGACAATGTAATTCTTAGGGTCAAGGACGTTAAGAATGATAAGGATTTGGTAAGCTAAACTACGCGTTCTTTACGCTTTTGTAGAGGGATAAACTTCGGAATATGCATCCTAAAGTTTGGAAATTGTCGTGTTTGCTGAATCCGCGGTTAGTTCGTTCTTCACCTAGTAGCTTCACCACCTGGTACAGTTGTCGTGGTGCTCAGCGAAGGAATAATAATATCAGTGTGTGGTTAGCTGGCCGAAAATGAAGCATGTCTTTGCTAAAAAGATGCTGGAGCCTTTGAAATAAACAGTGTCGATGGAAATAGATCATTTAACATTACTCAGAGTGCCGCACATGAAGGTAATTTAAGCTACACTCCAAATCATTAGCTAACAGCATATAATTATTTCTTTACTAACAGTGCTATATAAAAATTCGAAACTATTTCCATATAATTCTTATTTTAATACACCTCAGCAAATAAAATAAATATATGGGTTAAAAAGTTGTGATATGTAATGGAGTGTTATTTATTGTGGCTAAAAATACAGTAGATAAATTTGTACATTAAATCATTAACATATTCTTACACATTTCAGTTAGAAAGATAAAATAGTGATTCCATCTTTTATTAATACAAAGATTAATTAAATATTAATGCTGCTTTTTACACTCTTTCTAATGCGATATCAAAGAATTAAGTTATGATGAAGACATTTTTCTCGACTTCTGACGATGTTTGTTAATATACATACATGCACATGTCAGCGGCAGAGTAAATTCAATCAGTAAAATTATGACATTTGTTAGAAAAATATGAAAAGTCATAAACGAATGAGCTGTAAATTCACATAGGCAGCAGCGCA